AGTTAAAACATTCTTATTCTCACAATTCCGTCTAGGCAGCTCCTTCATTGTAAGTTCCTTATGAGGACCACTATGTCTCATTTGACTGCTGTTTTTGTCAGTATGATTACCACTTGCCACAAATATTCATGCGTGTCATCTGCGATCAGTATACACAAGCAATCTCATTTCATTGTTATCTAGATTTAGAGCAATGTTGTGAATCCCAACCCAAACTTCAATCGCGGGCTCGAAACTAGCCACTGGAAAAACAAGCACATAACTACTGGTGGTGACAGCTCGCAATGCACAGTATATACTTGTCTGAAGTTGATGAAGAAGAAAGGGTTGTAAACCCTGGGTAAGTATGAAGCGCCGCGCTTGCAATAAAAAGTCTGCTTATTAACTGGACATCTGAGGGCAGGCTAGCTATTTTCTTCTTCAGAATTTCTCTAGTCCGTGGCATTAAGACAAAGGCAAGGTGGCCGAGCGGTCCAAGGCGACAGGTTAAGGTCCTGTTCTCAGAAATGGGGCGTGAGTTCGAATCTCACCCTTGTCACTATCTTTTTGGCGATATTTTTACATTTCGTCCGTCATACTTAAAGCGAATGGTTCAGTTGCGACTCCGCTTTGATGAAGACAAAGGTAGATTTCCGTCCGGTCGGATAGTTAAATGAGGGATGACATTAGCGAATGCACGAGATATCCGGACCTTTGATAAATGAGACCCTCTCCACTTCATTTCCTTGCTGTATACCTGTCAGGATTCAGGAATCGCTGTCCTCCCTTTGTTAATTTATTCCACCCTTCTTTTGTCACGAGCATCTCGCAGAAGGCTCCCGGGAGTAGTCGTCCTGTTCTAAACTTCGGTTGGACAAACGATTTCTGACTTCCTTAAATCACTGCACGCTTTCGTGAAGGCGAACTTGAGAAGAGAGCAAAAAAGAGATATTGACAAGGGTGAGATTCGAACTCACGCCCCGTTTCCGAGAACAGGACCTTAACCTGTCGCCTTGGACCGCTCGGCCACCTTGCCTGGATGTATGGTGTTGGCGGAGGCCTACTTGACGAGTAGTTATAGGAGCGGAAAGACGTTTAGCAGAGTCCGAAGTTCGATGGCTTCCAAATCCGGGAAGGTCCGAAGGGTTCCCTCTTGGAGCCAGGGACTCATCTATAATCGGCGGCGGGCTCCTGGTTGGCATATCTTATCTCATTGATTCATCCTGAGTCTCGACAGTGAATTCCACATCCCTTTCCTGTCCCGGCGTAGATCTTTGGCACCCATATAAGTTTTCCCTCCTAGATCCCATGGACCTTCGTCCAACCCACGACCCTGCGTCGGATCCAAGGCCCAGGTCAGGATTTCTCTAACTCAGGAGCCAGCCTGAAAACAGACTGAAGTCCTCGATTGTCAGCTGTGTTGAAAAGTCAAGGGGTGGCAGCAGTGAAATCCAGACCAAACGGTTCGATGCCAGCGAGTTAATCGACGAGTTCCTCCAATGCAGTTCTAACTCAATGCCCAGAGAGATTTAATTTCGCAGCTACGGAGTAGTTACAAGAAATGTAAAGGGCTCATTGGAAACGTGCGGAGCCTTCATCGCTCCCCAGCTAAAAAAAACAAACGCCGTCGATTCGATGTTTTACGACGTTCGTATCGGATTGAAGGAAAAAAGATAGTGACAAGGGTGAGATTCGAACTCACGCCCCATTTCTGAGAACAGGACCTTAACCTGTCGCCTTGGACCGCTCGGCCACCTTGCCTTGATTGATGGAAAAGCATCCTTTCCTTTGCAAATATGTATCTCCGACGTTGCGCCGTGCTGATCGGAAATATCGACCTGCTGTTGCCAACCCCCTCCTCGGACTATCAGTAGCAGGTATCTTGTGTCGAATCACTGTGATAATCAGACGATGAACAACAAGCGGCTAATACGCAGCTCCTTCCTTACCACAGAACTGGGGTCAAACTGTTGCCTGTGGCCTGGGAAGCGGGTGACACGTTGTCTTGAGTTGTTTGGACGTCATCTTCTTGGTGACATCTGAGGGGTCGAGCCAGTTTATTCGAGAGTAAACGGCCTTAACTTCCTTCTGTGCTATCCACACCCTCAATGCGATTATTCTCTATTTAAAGAGTGCTTTCCTTTACAGCCAACAATATGGCCTTAGAAGAGAACAAGCACCTTCATGCTGTGGTGGACATGGGCAGGTAAGCCCTGTCCATTAGCCAGATTGACTTCTTAAAGCATGACTCCAAGGGATAGCTAATCGCGGCGCAACAGCAATGGCATCCGCTTTTCAATATCAGATCTCTCTCCCCCGACTTCAAGAATATTACCAACCGTATTCCAAGACCGCGCAGCCATCTCCCTTTATGATGCTCAATTCAAGCTGGGGAGCAATGTCCGAGAGCCCATTCCACCATCAGTCGTGGATGATGTCGTTCGCCGCCTGACACGGTTCAAACAGACGTGCGAGGATTTTGGCGTGCCCGAAGGGAATATCACTGTACTCGCCACCGAAGCGACCAGGACAGCCATCAATTCCGAGGCCTTTCTGAGAGCAATCAAAGGAAAGACTGACTGGGATGTAAAGCTGCTATCCAAGGAAGCAGAGGGCGAACTAGGCGCCTGGGGGGTTGCAAGCAGCTTGGCATCCGTTGAAGGCCTAGTGATGGACCTTGGAGGGGGAAGCGCGCAGCTTACATGGATGATTGCGAAGGATGGCAAGGTGAGAACTAGCGATAAGGGATCAATCAGTTTTCCTTATGGAGCAGCGGCAATCACTAAACGGCTGGAAGAATCTAAACTGGCAAAGAATTTGGCGACTGAGGAGATATCCAAGGAGATGATCGCAAAGTTCAAGGCCGCATTCGGTGAACTGGATATTCCGGAAGAACTTCTCGAGCGCGCTCGACAACGAGACGGGCTTGATTTATTCCTTAGTGGCGGAGGCTTTAGAGGTTGGGGCTACCTGCTTTTAAGTCGTTCCAAGGTAAATCCCTATCCGATTCCGATCATCAATGGCTTCACAGCACATTGTTCGGACTTTTGTGATATTTCTACCGTTACGAGTCTAGCTTCGATTGAGGGATCCAAAATCTTTGGTATATCCAACCGGCGGGCCTCCCAGGTCCCTGCGGTCGCATGTCTCGTTCAATCTCTCACAAAAGCCATTCCCCATATCAAAACCGTGCATTTTTGCCAGGGTGGTGTGCGTGAAGGATATCTATACAAGTCGCTAGACGTTGGCTCAGAAAATCCTCTTGCTGCGGCAACAACTCCTTACCAGACACCGTCTTTCGTTGAACTCTGGAACCAGCTTCTAAACGCTCTACCCCGTTCTTTGTCGGCAACCAAAAATGCATTCGTACCAGATTCATTTACAGCAGACCTACTTTTAGCACTGGCCAATTCTATGTTTGTGCACTCCTCGGTTCCGAAAGAGTTGCGCGCGGCCGCTTCGCTACATTCAACTATAACAGGCTTCCTTGCATCGACACATGGAATATGTCACAATCAGCGGGCCTTGTTGGCACTTCTTCTTTACGAGCGTTGGCGTGAAGATTTATCGCCGTCAGATCAATCTCTGCTACAACGGCTTCGCCAAATCTTGTCCAAAGAAGAGGTGTGGTGGTGTCAGTATATGGGGCGAGTTGCAGCGGCTCTTGGTGCTATTTATCCTAACGGTACTTCCATGAAATGGCCACGGGTTACCTTTCGCGCAGACTGGGCACAGAATAAGAAGGGAAAGCCGATGATTAAGTTGGAAATGCAACGATATGCCGATACGCACGTCGACTTGGGTTTGTTGATGGATTTACAACAAAACATTGAAAAGGCTGGAAAGAAGAAAAAGTGGGTTAAAGCTGCAGATAGGGTGGAGGTTACGGAGGATTGGGGATTGAAAGTAAAGGTTTTCATCAAGTAACTAGCAGAAGAGGCGTGGTAGAAGGTGGTTATATCTTTACCGGTAGTTTTGAGGTGGACAGTATGACTATAAAATGATTATAGAATACTCCATTGATTTATTATATAACTACAAAGAGCAGTATATTTAGAACAAGGGTTGACAGTGCGTAAAGATCCTGGGGGAAACGAGCTCTAGAGCCTGTCAAGAGATACATGGTAAGGATTTAGCCACGTGAACGTTGAACTATGCACGACCTTCGGCGGGAGGTGCAACTTGTGGCCCATGAGGATTAAGCGGAGCAGCCCGACTTTCATCATCTGACACAAAATCTGGAGCGGGGCCCAGAGGCTGGTCGGCATATTGGTGATAACCATGGGGTCCCGGGCGCTGAATAGACGGCGCAGCAAGCTCGTCATCATCATCGGAATCTAAGAGAGGATACCGATGGGGATGTGGCTGGGAACCAATCGGGTTACCAAGAGAGTCTTCTCGTGAATAAATTGATCTATCATCATCTTCATTGTCATCGTCGAGATCCTGATCATATCGAACATTCTGGCCAGGATGGCTCTTCCCCTTGTCGGGACCATCGTCTATATCGAATAGGGGCCGGGGACGCAGACCTTCGTCATCATCCTCGACCTCTAGCTCATCAGAGGTCTGCGCCTGGTCATATGTTGGCGGTCCAACTGGTCCACTAGAGCTTCCTCCCAGCTCCATGTCGCCGGCGTTCTCCAGATTGACCCATTTCTCCATGCACTTGTCGCAGATTCCCCTGGCCTCGTTGATCAGGAGCTCAGGTGTTCCATCATTGGGGTCACGCTCTATATCAGTCTTGGTTTCTTCGCCTTCATGGCCACACTCCCAGTGAGTCTTGGTCTTGTAATACTCCTTGCGCCCGGAAGAAGCTGCAACTGGTGCAGCGAATTCGGGATTTTCGGCAAGCAGGCGGTCAAAGTCTTCCCATTCTCCCTCCGCGGGTTTAGGGGCCGGAGCTCGTAGTTCTGGATTAGCGGCTATGGCGGCGTTCAGCTCGCGAAGGATAGAGTCTTCGTTGTCAGCATCATCGTGGGGACTTGGAGCGTCGGGGTTTTGGGTAACCGGGGCAGTTTGTGTATCAGCCATCTTGATAGACGAAGGCAATTGCGAACTGATGGATCAAACAATTCTGGCTGTGTCGGCTGGTATAATGTCCAAGCAAATTCCGCCTTGAGGGATTGCAGTAGAATAGATGCACTCTGGTGGGAAGCAGTAGACTTGGGCATATTTATGCCCACCAGACATCTTGCTCCGAGTGACAGATACATTGTAATTAATATTCATCACTTATTGTTTGTAAGTTGGGTATTTGAGTCAATGCAAGAAAAGGACCGGCCATGAATATGGTCGTTTTCACTGTAGATGATTGAGATCACCGGGGATTGAGCCAACTGGTAACCAAAAGCCCCTTGACACGGTTTGAGCAATCACTAAAAACATAATCATTCAAGAGACACCGCCTGACCGGCCTGTTGTCGGTTCTGGAAGTGAAGCATGGCTGCTTGATATCATCAATTCCCTCAGCACGAAGAGTGTTGCTGGTAATTCTCGCATCCCGGTGTCCCGGCCCAGCGATTACCCCTCTTTTGCATTGTCGTTGAACCAGGATGCAAAAGTAAAAAAAGACGATAAAATCCCACAATCAACTTCTCACTTCTTTTCCTCCTTCTTGTCACTGAATTCGCCCTCTCAGCGCACTTTTGCAATCGAATCCACGAAGAAACCACTCTCTCAGGTAACTAGAATTGGCTGTTGTTGCTCGTTTGAATCATGGCCCCTCTCCCTGATCGATAGTGGGCATATTTACTGACGTCTCTGGCAGAAGAAGAAAAGCCCTGCTCGGTACATCTCTCTCTCGCGAAGATGGAAAGCAATGAAATCCCTATAGCTGGAAACGACATCCATATGCGGTCAAGGTATCTCAAGTAAACACTCTTGTGCATGAGCCGGTGTCCGATCCTCATCCTGCTCAGCTGTCAGATTTGCATCCAACTCCTGCTTGCTATAGCTATTGGCAGTGAGAGATGCAAGTCTCGCTGGGCAGGCTCTGTAGATTGGTCTGAAATTATACGGTTTGAACTTGATCTGGATAATACCAGCGAAAGGATCATGCGTTTCCCTCTTCCTCCCCCCTTTCCCTGGCAAGAACTCCATGACCCTCTAACCAAATATAGTCCTCCATAATGGCCACTGTCACTGAAACCGTCACTCTCCCAACCCGCACCGCATTGGTGGGACATGAATCCGCTGCAAAGGAAGATGCAGCACGCGAGTGCGCTCTCCTGAACGAGTTCGCTGGAAAATGGGACAGCTTCAAGTTTGGCCCCATTCGCGAGAGCCAAGTCTCCCGTGCGATGACCAGGCGGTACTTCAAGGACCTGGACACCTATGCTGAGAGCGACATTGTCATTGTTGGTGCTGGCTCATGCGGTCTCAGCACGGCCTATGTCCTCGCCACTGCCCGTCCTGACCTGAAGATTGCCATTATCGAGGCTGCCGTCTCTCTCGGTAAGCCGTCACAGCCAACGATAATCCTATCTGCTCATGAATACCACTAACAGTCCCGTAGGTGGCGGTGCCTGGCTTGGTGGCCAACTCTTCTCCGCCATGGTTCTCCGCAAACCCGCGGACAAATTCCTTGACGACATCGGTGTTCCGTACGAGGAGGAGCCATCCAACCCACACGTTGTGGTGATCAAGCACGCCTCTCTCTTCACATCTACCTTGCTTTCCAAGGTTCTTGCGTTCCCGAACATCAAACTCTTCAACGCTACCTGCGTTGAGGACCTGATCACCCGCCCTGAACCCAATGGGGGCCTGCGTATCGCCGGTGTTGTGACCAACTGGACCCTCGTCGCCGAGCACCACGACGACCACTCCTGCATGGACCCCAACACCATCAATGCTCCCGTTATTGTTAGCACCACTGGCCACGATGGTCCATTCGGAGCCTTCTGTGCTAAGCGCCTCGTCTCCATGTCTGCTATCGAGAAGCTCGGTGGCATGCGTGGTTTGGACATGAACTCGGCTGAAGAGGCCATTGTCAAGAACACTCGTGAAGTCACCAAGGGTTTGATCATCGGTGGGATGGAACTGAGTGAAATCGATGGCTGGCACCGTATGGGCCCCATTTTCTCTGCTATGATGCTCAGTGGTGTCAAGGCTGCTGAAGTTGCTTTGGAGGTTTTTGAGCAGCGCAAGAAGGAATGTGCTGCTTAAATAGCTTTACTATTGCGACGCGGTACATCCACCATGGATACGGGACTCGCTCGTTGCGTGTAATAAGAATTGATAAAATCTTAGCTTTAGCTGTAAGGACAGACAGCAATACACTCGTTTAGCAATAACCCTGATTGTAAAATATTTCTACAGTGAAAAACATAAAACGCCACACACCATGCAAGCAAAGAGGATAAAAGATGACGCCCCATCCACGAATACATTCTCACACGCGAGAATTATTCTTCCCCAGCTGACCCAGATCCTGCTCAATATCCAATCCCATCCCCAACGCCATTCGCTTCGCATTCCTAATCTCCCATTCAAACTCCTTCATCGCCCGCAATTCGCTACTCACAAACAGACCCCCAATCAACCCATCGATAACCCCAGCCGTAAGCCCAAACGAACTCACAAGACACAGTATAAACGAAACAAACGGGCGCGGCGACCACCAGAGCCCTACCAGGCAACACACCAACACGCCAAGCGAACCAAGGAAGTGTCCGACGCGCGCGCGACGCTGGAATCGCTCTCGCAGTTCGTACATGTGTATCATCTTCAATATATCGTCGTACATATCCGCAGCGGGATGGGCAGGAGGTTTTGGCGGTGTAGCTGGGGTCATCAGGGTCGAGGGCGGAGGGGACTCTTGCTGCTGGATGGGGAGGAACGGCGTGCTCTCTTCTTGGGAGGATGTTTCCCCTCCCGAGGTGTCGCGGGAGAGCACCGCTTCAACGGCGAAATGGTCGCTGAGCGAGCAGTGCAGGGTCGGATGGCGCTCAGTCATGCTGACGCGAGCGGATTCGACAGTCCATTTCCAGTGGGCCAGCGGCGAGGGAGGTAGCGGGGATGGACAGGATGAAGGGGATTGCCAGTTCGCCCCTCCGTCTCCGACGAAGATGTAGTCTAACCTTTTCCCCAGCGGGTCTGGTAGCCGCGGGTCGACTTCGACGTGGCCTTCACGCCGCAACCGTTGCTGCTGCGCTTTGTTCCAGCGCCAGGTGTTAAGTAGTCCATCGCATGTAATACCGTTCTCGGCAATGTTGTATTCCGCAGAGGGGACGGGTCTCTTTCGCGCGGATTCGACCTGGTCAATCGCGGCTCCCAGGGAAGAATCCGGGTGGAGGCATCGCCACACATCTTGCACCGGCGCGTGGGTAGTGATGATTCGGTGAGCGAGCGACAGTGGAAGCATATTAAAATCCCCTAGTCCGATGACCAGATGGCCCTTCTCCGCCGCTCCACGCATCAGCTTTGCGATCTCCCATGCCTGCGCCGTGCGATGGCAGATGTAAGAATCGTGGGGCTCCCTCTCGTACGGTGCATGTAGATGTGTACAGAACACTGCTGCGATATCATTCGGCCCCGGTCCGATTCGTATTCTTGCGCAGGCAACTCCCTTGCCGACAAACCAGTCACCCCGGAAGAAAGCGGTTGGACGTCCATTCAACGGGTACGCAAACATGCTGCTCTGCTCGATGGGCCATTTTGAAAGGATGGCAAGCCCGCCGCCAAATATTCCGCTGAAGTAGAACTTCCCATAAGGAAGAATATGTCTCGTTTCCTTGCGGATGTTATTGTAGTCTTCTTGCGTCCAGCACTCTTGCAATCCGACGATTTCCGGTGGGGAATCGAGACTGGCGAGTCGCCTCCCGATCTCTGCAAGCCGCTCCCGGCGATATTTGGCGATGAACTTGAGGCCCCAGCAATTGAGGGTGAGGATGTGGATTTTCCGGGGCACGTCGTCGCTGTGATGCGGGGAGAACATCCTCATGGCATGGACGAGCGTGGTGGGCAGCAAGGCAGGCGTTCAGGGAGCTGGAACTAGATGTAGATCTGACTCCACACAGTAATCGAGTTAGAGAACGACGCACCGTGAGTCTCGTGTTTTGGGGCGTTCGACCTCGCCGTCGCCGTGGATGGAATTGCAGGCGGGAAAAGGGGAGGATACTGCCGCTCCTCACCACCCGGATCCCGGCGCCCTGATTGGCCCGAATGCGGCATCGCGGCCGTCGCGATCTTTCAGCGTTCGATGATTTCGCTGGACAGCAGCTGCCTGGTTGTTCTGTTGACACGGCGGACAACTGCAGCCATGGCGGACGGCAATGCTTACCCCGCAAAGAGACGGCGTCTCGACACTCGTGGCTCCCGTTCCCAGGAGTCATCCTCAGACGAGCTGGGGGCCAACTCGGACGTCGAGCGGCGAAGAGCAAGCTGGCTGAAGCAGGTGCGCACAACTTATCACTCTCCAAGGCCGTTCAAGTCCACTCCCAGCAAGACCATGCACAGCGATTCCGACAGCCCCGATGAACTGGCCGCCGACCACCACAGCCCATATTGGCGGAGGCAGAGCGCGATGCGTCGCAGCATACTCTCCACACCGCGGGACAGCAGTAGATCGGAAACGCACCGGCGGGATGACTTGGATGACGACGATGATGATGACGATGACGATGGGGGAGAAAGCAGCGATATCGCGTCCGATGATGAGAATATAGAAGGCGAAGACGTCGAGAGGCCAGTGCGCGTGCGGACACCGACCCCTCCGCCGCCGCCTCCGCCGCCTAAACCAGAGAGGCTGAATTACAAGGAGAGACTGGTCTTGAGGGGGCATCAGAGGGGAGTTTCAATGGTTCAGTTCTCGCCGGATGGATCAATGATTGCCAGTTGCTGTAAGTGGAATTCGTCATTCCCCGGCATGGGTTGCGGAGCTATTTGTCTAATGAGAACTAGCTGCGGATGCTACCATACGAACTTGGAATTCTTCCACCGGAAAGCTCATACACACGTTTGAAGGCCATCTTGCTGGCATATCCACCTTGTGTTGGAGTCCCGATGGCACCTTCATCGCCTCACGCTCAGATGACAAGTCCATAAGACTCTGGGAACGTTTTAACAGTATGCCTTTTGCACCTTGAGCCAACCCTTCTAACTGGTTCCATGTTGACAATATTCGTTCTAGTAGGGAAAACAACATCCAACACCTTTCTTGGTCACCACAATTACGTGTACTCCATCGCCTTCTCCCCCAAAGGCAACATGCTCGTTAGCGGTTCCTATGACGAAGCCGTTTTTCTCTGGGACGTCCGCTCAGCCCGTATTATGCGATCCCTTCCAGCCCATTCCGACCCCGTTGCCGGCATCGACGTGATACGCGACGGTACGCTGATAGTTTCCTGTGCGAGCGACGGCCTAATCCGCATCTGGGACTCCGCGACCGGACAATGTTTACGGACACTGGTCCATGAAGATAACCCACCTGTGACGGGGGTAAAATTCTCGCCGAATGGGAAGTATGTGCTCGCATGGTCTTTGGATGGGTGTGTACGACTGTGGGACTACGTGGAAGGCCGCTGTATAAAAACCTACCAAGGTCACAAGAACGAAAAGTACAGCATATCCGGCGGATTCGGGACGTACAACGCGCCGGGTGGACCGCCAATTGCGTTTGCGTTTAGTGGAAGTGAAGACGGCGCCGTGGTATGTTGGGACGTCGTTAACAAAAAGATACTACAGAGACTTGAGGGCCATACGGATGTTGTGTTGAGCGTGGACGCATGTTGTGTCGCCGGAAAACGGCTGATAGTTAGCTGTGGGATGGACAGGACGGTCCGGCTGTGGCAAGAGGAGGAGCTTGCGGAGAATGTCCCCGAAGCCGAGTTGCCCAAGGCGACTTCCGATGACGGACAGCAGGCAGAAAGTCGAGAAGCGCCGGCGGCTGATGTGGATGGTGACACGCCTATGACTTGAGCAACCCGACCGCATTTTCTCCTTTGGCGTTGTTGCATGAGCATTCTTTTCTTCATTACTTATGATGCGACGGGGAGTTGCTGCTGACCTTTGGTTTTTTGCATTTCCCGCATTTTGGCGCCTGTGGATAAATTTAACAGTGGTATGTAAGGTTTATATAGGGGCACTGGGTGCGCTTTGTTTTTATGGGACAGGGAGGAAGAGATTTTCAATAATTGGATCTTTGATGACAATTCCTCGTCTAGAGGAAGACACTCAGCGCCCCGACTGTATTCGACGCCAGCCCGCTGAACAGAAGCTTGTACTTTATTCAGCTTGAAACATAAATGACAGAGTATAGGCACAATCTTTTATTTACAGAGATCACAAAATGCAAAGCCCAGGAATCCCCGATAGCCCGAGACACCGGAAGATGAAAGATCCAATTCTATGTATACTCCTTCCTGCTTTTTTTTAAGATTCGGCATAAGCCTTTCCAACAGTGTTGAGCTGACCGCCCGAAACCAAGTTCTCGGCCTTGAAGTAAGAGTAGCGGGCAACACCAGGGTTGGCATCAAGCCATGGCACGACTTGCTTGATGAATTCGGCTTGAGCTTGGTCGTCACCGAGGCCCTGGAACTCAGTAATCCAGACCTTGTCGATACCGTGGCTGCGTCCAAGTTCGATGGCTTGGGAAATGTGGTTCTTGAATCCCTCAACCTCGCCGGCCGGGCTGTACCAGTGGATGGCAAGGAAGTCGATCTTGCAGTCGGTGCAGCTGTCGAGGAAGGATTGCATCCAGTTCAGACCCATTGCTCCACCACCGTTGGTGACGCCGGGAGAGCCGAGCTGGAGCTTGCCGGCGAGAGGGGTAAGGTATTGCTTGAAGGCTTCGGCAGCGGATTGTGGTGACATGGATGCTTGCTCACCATGGTCGGGCTCGTTGAACCCGAGGATGCATTTGTTGCCGGAACCGAGGACGCTGCTTGGGTTCCAGCTGTTGAAGAATTTAGGACCCCAAAGCATAGGGACGTATTCTGCGCCAGAACTGCCGTCAGAAGAGCTTCCCCAGTTGTAGTTCCATGAATTGGCGGGGGTGCCCTTGAAGGGCTGGAGGGCGGATGGATCGTTGTAGGCGAGGCCTCGTTTGCCGGATTCTGGAAGTGGAGCAGATGCTTGAGGCACGGAAACTGGCGCAGCAACGATAGAGCCGGCCAGCAAGCTGACGAGGAAAGGAACGTTGAAAGACACCATATTTGCTGTGTAAAGAATGATGTACAGGGTTAAGTGATTGTTTGTTTGCTTTCAGAACCAGCCGATCACGTAGAGATTTAGGTGTAGAAAGAATGGCCAACACGATACGAGTTGAATATCAATGAGTGAATAGCTTGAGTGTGAGGGAAAAGAAGGGTACACGGTCTCAGAGCTGATAAAGAAAAGGAATGGGTAGCTGAAGCAACTAGCAACAACCAAAAGAGTGATAAAATGTCAAGAGAGCGAAACACAGAGGGAAAGAGAGTAGAATGAAGGAGCGGAGGACAGGCCAGCGCATATTTATACTTGGAAAGGACCGCATCCCGTCGAGCAAACGCATCTGCTCATGGAGGGTTGGAAGTATGTTGGAGTGGGGAGTGGACTCTTCGAAAACCGATTCTGGGCGCTCCAGAACAGCCGGCCTTGGGTGGGCCTCAGGAGGTGTGGGTAACAAAGCATCACGAACTGTCAGCGGCTCGATGAAGTGGCCTGCAACGCCGGTTGGCTGCAGTGGCTGGTCATTGTCCCTGGTTTGGGCGATCAGCAATAATAAACTGACCGCCAGGATGTTTCAACGATATCTCTATTTGCAGCCATCATTGGCGGCCCATGGACTATTGAGACGTTTGACAACAGCCGGTAGCCCAAGAGCAGACGTGGCGTTGACCAGGGGAAGGTGAACTCCTCGGAGCCATGGCCTGGGTGTGTTCAAAATGGAGCATGGCCTTTTGAAACCCCGTTTTGGCTTTATACCCGAGCGCCCAAACGATTCATCCCATCATTGATTGCGTAACGCCTCGGCCAGTTGGCAGGAAAATACTCTCAGTTTTTGTTGGAATGCACAAATCAGCGGTTCAAGGTTCCGTTTCACTTTTTTTTCTCTTCGGGTTCCTGAACTCAATTGTTTCCTGAGTTGCCATTGGCTTTTGGCGGCCCAGAATATGGCGCTGGATAGAGTTGATTGGATGGACAGCAGGATATTTGCAGGAATTCAATGGATTTCGAGCGTCACAGCTACCATGGAAGCGCCAGGGGGTGGCACCGGCGGGCTTTCCAGGCTGTCGACGGAGCATCTGCTGGCCTGCATCAAGCCAGGATAGAGAACGTGCGCTGCAGGAGACACAACAACGGATTCAACCCCCTCGACCGTCACAGTTGGCGCTGGCCGACGAGATCCTTGCGGGTGGCGTTGGCAACTTGAGCGGCGGCAAAGCTTGGGCGTCCAAAGTAGGGCTGATCTAACCGCATCCGGGGCTTATGTAACAGCCCCGTGCCAAGCCCTCGGCGGGTTTTGAAACGTTTGCATCTCGTTTCGCTTTGTGCAGCAAGTAATATAGAGTAAGAATTCTTACGATTCGATGCCGAAGCCTACGGGGGCCAGGGGCGGCGGATGGGGTCCGAAGGGGATGGTTTGCCCGGTGGATGCCTCGTCGTGATGGCTGGCCAGCATTCGCTCCCAAAGCCTGTATCCACTCGAGCCTGGACCTGCATATCAATCGAGGGAGGAATCCCGAGTCAATCCAGGAACAAGATCCCGTTGCCGTCCGGCTAGAAGATACGTGAAGCGCACAGGCTCGCTTGGTGGTTGCCCTGTGGGAGGCTAGGGGGCCGTACAGAGGAATGTTGTACAGCTCCATGTCTTGCGAGACGCCATGACATTTGGGATTGAGGCATCACAAAAGTGGGCAGCCGAAAGCCGTGCTCTCAAGTCTTATTACCAGCTTTCTTTCTCCCCTCCAACACCCGCATCACATCGCCTGCGCTGTCCTTATTCCCTTTCCGCTTTTTTGGCCCACGCTTCCGTTTATTCCCGCCACCGCGTTCATCCCACAACTCTTCCTCCTCGTCGTCGTCTCCAAATCTACTTTGGCCAAATCCCAGGTCAAGGTCCATGGCATCTTCCCTTTCACGCCGCTTCGCCTCCTCCAAGAACTTTTTGCGTCGTAGCGTTGCTTCTTCGTCACCTTCCTCTCGTTCGCCGGCGCCTTCTGACGACGGCGAGCGTTGGCGAATCGCCGCTGCGCGTCGGAGGGCAGCCAGGATTGTGGGATCTGACGATAATGGATTGCCAGGTTTCGTTTCTGTCGGCTCAGTTGTAGCGGTTGTAGAAAAGTAATTGCGGGGACCGGGCGCTTGCGCTGGCTTTTCCATCTCCTCGGTCCCGCTCACGACTTTATGATCGGTCGGCTGCTCTGTCTCGACATCCTTCTCGCTTTCCGATGATGAGCTGCCATCATCAACATCCGCCAGCGGGTTATGATAGTCCCCGACCCCTTCGAAAATATCATCGTCTTCTTCTTCCTCTGCAACGTTGGCGCGAGCCATGATTTCCAAAGGAACCTCCATGCCCAGCGGTTCTACACTCTTGTCCACAGCCAGTAAGCCAGCTTGCTTTCCGTCAGGCTTGTCCAACCACCGGGCTTTCCTTTTGAGCTTTCCCTCTGAGTCAGTGACAACTAAGATTTCCTTTCGCCGGCCGTGTTCATCGGTCTCAATCCATCTTTTTTTCTGATCACTGGCTCCAATCTTCTTAAACTTTTCTCCAAGCATCGATACAGGCGGCTCCTGGGCTAGCGAAATCGGTTTACCAGCTGCTCGGCTGGCTTTCAGTTGCCTGAGGATCTCGTCTCTGGTCATTTTCCCAGGGGGTGGGGCCATGGTGCCTTTCTTCACTTTCTCCTCTCTCTTCGTCTCCGGAATAGCCTCTTTTTCCTTGTCCTCAAGAACACGGTCAAATTCATCATCGACATAGCTCCCATCCTGGTCTTCCCCTAGGCCAGCAGCAGCGGGTGTCACGACATCTTCCCCCGCTTTCACGCGTTGGAGCAATTTCCTATCTAAACCCTTTACGAGATGGGTGCTACTAATATCGCCCCCAACTCCAATCTCCTCTCTCAGTTTTTCAAACGTAGCTTGATCAATCTGCCCTAGTTTAACCATCTCCTCCAGCGCCTGAACTCTTTTCGCTCGTGAACCATCGTCCACAGCGGCATCGCCTTCTTCGCCAGCTTGCTGTCGTAGTTGGGTGCGATCCAAGTAGCTCCCCGTATACTTTGTGCCTTTTGGCGCTGAAGATTTGAACTTCTTCGCTGGTGGCGGCTGGTTCCCCTGTCGAAATTCGGCGAGCTGACGGGCGAAGTTCACGTTGCCAACGGCGCGACTAAGCAGGAACGACAAAGTTAGACACGGCGCCTAGATAGTTCATGCGGATAGGAGGGAAGCACATACGGTGTCATGGGAATGCTTGAGCGCATTCTCGAACCCAGAGCAGCTGGCTTCAGCGTCGTTCCATGCTCGCCACGAGTCAAGGCCGAAGCTGCTGGTTTACCAGAGGCAGTCGGGGTTGAGTTATCAAACAATAAGCGTCTAAACTGTTCGTTATTCATTCTGCACAGTCACCTCGATGCTATCCGTGGCAAATCCGACATCCATGCAGCTCTTGCGCTTTCAATCAGTCTAGCTCATGAGAACGCCAAGCTCGAGGTTGGATGCTGAGTAAGCACGCGACCTCCTTTTATATCAAACTTTCACAACTTCACTTGATGCCAGCGCGATCGTGGATGGAGGATAGCGAACATGATGATTCGCTATCCGGTGGTAAGACGTTAAATGGGAGACGGAGGAGCTCCTCCACTAACTACATCAATGGCTCCTCATCTAGAAACCGCTGGTTGTCCAACGTCTCTCTATGTGCGTATGCTGGGTTCTTTCAGCCCAGATAAGGGCCAGTTTGCAATCCCGCAATGCGTGAAAGGGGTTCCTTCTACTTGACAGGATAGTCATCGTATCGGTCAGGAGAACTACCGAAGAGTGTTTCTACCAAAACCTCAGCGTTCCCGAGCCCCCAGCGGAGTGAGCGCAGGTTTCTTGAGCCTAACTAATAACTGAGTCGCTTGCTTTCTCAACTCCTGAGAAACTCTGTTTCCAGTAATAGTTACTCTCCGCCAGCATTGATGACGACGAACCCTTTTTTTAGAATATATTTGCTTGGCATCCCCCTTGGTTGCAACTCGCAGCTTCGAGTGACCTTTGCTACGGAGTCCGTACCGTAAGCTTTGGCAAAAGGCCGATCTTCAGGATGAATATGATCCGCCACTCACCGCGCAAGTCTAGACTGGTCGGACGACCAGCTCTTTAAGATCCGTGCCGCTAACAATACGTATGCAATCGTTTAGCGGCTCAGGGGTTCATCTCTCTTGAGCACGCAGCCACTTAACTAGTTAACCGGCTCATCGGTTTGCACAGCCCCTCGATGGCTTCATGGTCGAACCTACCTGCTGTTAAGGCTTTGGTGCTCGCCATGTCTGTGAAAGAAACGGGATCCAGAGTATGGGTCTTTAGTTTACGAGCGAAGTGGTGTCTCGCGGATTCAAGGCGGGTGGACTTGCTCTACATCGCAAATCTTACTTATCTCGCTTGAAGATGTTGTCTCAGAGAGGAATTTTGTAATAATCCAACAGATAACGGGAGAATGCATTTATTCCATCCTCTCAGTTAAGGTTGCTGCGTTGTAGGGAATTGAAAGAAAGCAACTCGAGTTCCAGTGAAGTATCCAGGAATCAGTCTAGGCTCAGAGCATTGATCGTGATCGCCAGGTGTTTGGTAGCATTTCATTGCGAGTATTGATAATAGTTCTAATCTCAAATATGACCCCATGGCAGGATTGTTGAACCGATACCCCCGCCGTAGAACGCCACCACCCAGGAGTGCAGAGCAGATATATTGCATAAAATATCACCAGGAAAAATTTATATCAAAACGATCCCCCATGCGGAAAGATATACCCATATTCTTTGTACCATCTACTGAGTCTCCCATCCGCCGTTATTGATTTCCGACTCCAGTTTTCGACTGACTGTTGCAGGAATTCCATTTGTGAGCCAAACTTCACGGATGAGCCGATCGTAGCGCTTTTGATTCAAGATAAGTGGGCGGTGGTGGTCTG